GAAAGAGTAGACTTCCTCAGTTTGCCCCCGGGAGTGGGAACAGGATAGAGGAAGCCACAGAGAGAGAAATTTCAGCTCAGCTTAACGAAGAACTTCCTGTTAAGAGGCACTCTGGTGTGTGGTTCAGGATATGGCCCTGGAGCCAAACTTGTGGGCTTCAAACCCAGGCTTCTCCCACTGTTTGACCTTGACTAAATTATCTAACCTTTCTGTTACTGGTTTTTCTCATCTGTAATATGGATACAGTAATAGCATCCACCTCCGGTTGTTGTGAGGATTAAATGAGTTAATACACGTAAGCCTTTAGAATGGTGCCTGGTGTTTAGTGAGCTCAGTAAGTGAGAGCTTTTGTTAACGGTTATCCAGGGATGCGGCGCGTGGGCTGCTGGGGGTGGCGAGGGGGCAAGTTCCTCTTAACTAGAGATGCTCTGGCTCAGGCAGCCACGTAGAGGGGCTCAGGCATTAGGTGGTGGGCAGACTAGATGCCTTTTAAGGGTCCTTCCACCCCAAGGAGCCAGTGATGATGTTTATGGTCACCTCAGGCTCAAAATGATGCCCCGACAAAAAAAATGTGTGTTGTTGTTTGAAAAGGTCTGTTTTGCTCTTCATCACATTGACCAGATTTTGAACTCCGGTCCCGAAGACTGTCATTCTTATGTGTACCTTCTGCAGGAGCCCGTCACCCTGCTGGGCCAGATTGGCTGTGACAGCAACGGGAAGCTGAACCACAAGTCGGTGGTTCTTGAGGGAGATCGGGAGCATTCCTCAGGCGCTCAGATTCCAGTGGATCTATCTGAGCTCAAAGAGTATTCTCTGTTTCCTGGACAGGTAAGATCAGGGGTGTCTCCCACTGGGCACGGGCATGCTTGTTTGCTCCGTAGTATGTGTAGAGGGCTGTGGCTCCAAGAGTGAGCGTTTCGTCACTGGCCAGCTGCCCCTCGCTTTTGACGTCTGATGCCGTGAGGTGTAGCTGGAGCTCAGGCCCAAGAGGGGACACCAGTGTAGGGATTTCACCCTTCCCCCATATGCTCAGACCTTGGCTCTGGGATCTGCTGCCAGGTTCAAACCCCAGCTCCACCCCACAAGGCGGGTGATTACAGAGATGTTACTAACCTCTCAAAACCAGAGTGTCCTTGCCTGTGGAATGGGGATGATAATTCCTCCCTCACAGGAGAGAGGTAAAATGAGGTCACCCATGTAAAGTACAATTATTATTACGCCAACATAACCCCTTGATTTGTTTTCTAGAAAAATACCCCCAAGTTTACAATTACAGAATGAGAGTAGCTGGACAATACTTCTTTGTTTTTCTGGCTACGTTGGGTCTTCGTTGCTGCGCGTGGGCTTTCTCTAGTTGCGGCGAGGAGGGGCTACCCTTCCTTGTGGTGCACAGGCTTCTCATTGCGGTGGCTTCTCTTGCTGCGGAGCACGGGCTCTAGGCGCACGGGCTTCAGTAGTTGCGGCACGCAGTCTCAGTAGTTGCGGTGCACGGGCTCAGTAGTTGTGGCTCGTGGGCTCTAGAGCGCAGGCTCAGTAGTTGTGGTGCACGGGCTTAGTTGCTCCGCAGCATGTGGGATCTTCCCGGACCAGGGCTCGAACCCGTGTCCCCTGCATTGGCAGGCAGGTTCTTAAGCACTGCGCCACCAGGGAAGTCCTGGACAATACTTTTAACTCTATCAGAGTATAACTTATTCCAGACCTCCCGTTCATCTCCCCTGTGATGCAAGCCTGTCTGCTGCCTGTCTTTCAGGTTGTGGTTATGGAAGGAATCAACACCACTGGTAGAAAACTTGTTGCCACCAGACTCTACGAGGTACCGGTGTCCCCCGACCTTCCCCCCCACTCCCCCCCGGTTTGCTGCAGGCACAGTGTGTGCAGTTCTGTCTGTCCTAGAGCCCATCCTTTGTAAGGGCCCATTTATTTGCTTCTCAATTCTCTGTCTATAGAGTGGGACTTACCTCTAGGTCAGGGCCTCACAAACTGTTCCCCTAAAGGGCCAGACAGTAAATATTTCAGGCTCTTGCAGGCCGTATGGTCTCTGTCACAATGTCAGCTCTGCCACCGTAGCACAAAAGCAGCCATAGGCAACCCGTAAACCAACGAGTGTGCTGTGTGCTAGTAAAAGTTTACTTACAAAAACAGGCGGTAGCCAGCTTTGGCCCATAGCCCGTAGCTTAGCAGTCCCTTCTCTAGCAATAATCCTCCACAGATTTCCAGAGGCTGCAAGAAGTAGCAGGACCCTACTCTCCCATCCTCACCTCGCAGGACCCTGACCCTACAGGCACCTGTTTTGCTCCTGCTTTTTGCTGGGTGTTTTATGAGTTTAGCCGTGACCTTGTGCTACCCAGGTTTCTTTGCCACTCAGTAAAGAAAAATGGCAGGACCATCAACTCTGGGCTTTTAGCTCCAAGGGGTAAGACACCTGCAAACACACCACCATTCAGTGCTCACCCTATTCCTGACCAAAGACAGTGACGGGGGCAAAACCTCACCGTAGCTTCTCTCCTGTTTGAAGGGCGTGCCACTTCCGTTCCATCAGCCCACTGAAGAGGATGGAGGTAAACTTTGCTTCAAACATTATTTTGCTAACAATGCGGGTGGAGGGTGGTGAACAAGGGTACAGGAGCGCAGTTCCTCAGGCCCCAGGGAAGCTACACAAGCTGCTTGAGAGCACCATCCCGGAGCTCCAAGGGCAACTGTGAATTGGTGGGTTCACTGGCCCTTTGTGGAAGGCCAGGGGTCTGAGCCTACGTGGCTTTGTCAGCGTTATCGCCTGTGCTCTGACTCCACAAGGCCTGTCGTTTAAAGACTAATGTTTAACAGGTATTTGAAGGTAGCTTTGAAAAGGGAAAAGAGCAGCTATTTATTTATTTATTTAAATTTTAAAAATTTTTTTAAAGAGCAGCCATTTTTAAAAGAATTTCTGTAAATGCCATGTGATATCCTGGACTAGATCCTGGAAGAGAAAGGGGACATTAATGGGAAAACTAGTGACATTTAAATAAAGTCAGGAGTTAGCAGTAATATACCAGCATTAATTCCTTAGTTTCAACAAATGTACCATAGTTATATAAGATGCTAGCGTTAACATTAGTGGATGCTGGGTGAAAGGTGTACATATGGGAACTCTGGACTATGCTTGGAACTTTTCTACAATTCTAAAGTTATTCCAAAATAAAAAATGTATTTAAAAATTAGACAAATTTCTCAGAAAGCCTAGAGTTATTTGGTCACTAACGTAGATGGGAAAAGACGAACATTTTAATAAACTTTGCTTCAGAACAATTCCAAGCATTTTTGTAAGCAAAGCAGAAGACTGCTGAGGATTAGCAGGGAGATGGCTGACACTAGCACATTGTCAACACCCCCTCCACGTTAATATCGTGTGAGGTCATTCTTAGTGGCGGCCTGGAATCAGGAACGAAATCTAGGAGTTTATGACATTGCACATTCTCTCAGAAAATAAGTGTTTATGGAAGCAAGAGTGCTGGTACTGGATCGACTTCAGGTAACGAAGAAAACAGACAGGGCTGAAATGCCCGGAGCCTGAGCTGTGCCAGGGAAGCGTTTGGAAGCAGTTGAGTAGGTTGTTAACAGACAGTTTGTGAGCAGCGTCTGGGCTCACAGCACCCTGGGTGTGGACACACAGAATAGGACGTGAGCCTGGCACTCACCGTTTACCTGGGATTGACGTCTCCTGTAGGCTCCTCAGAACCATTAGCTTTGTCCCCCGCCCCAGCACAGCACTGTTGGGTGTGGCGAGTGTTACGCTTCCCCTTGAATTCTCTGTCTCAGTTGAGTTGTTGCCACTCTGGTAGGTGAATAATGGTCCTCATTCCTGGAATATATTCCTGAACGTATTACTTTATATGGCAAAAGGGACTTTGCAGGTGTGACTGAGTTAAGGCTCTTGAGATGGGGATTGCCTAGGTGAGCTCAGTGTAATCACAGGGGTCCTGATAAGGGAGGGCAGGAGGGTGAGAGTCACAAAGATTAGAAATGTAGACTGCTGGCTTCGAAGGTGGGGGAGGGGCCGTGAGCCACGGACTGCAGGCAGCCTCTGGAAGCTGGAAAGGGCAAGAAAACAGATTCCCCTCAGAGCCTCCAGAAGGAATGCAGCCCTGCCCACCCCTTGATTTTAGGACTTCTGACCTCTAGGACTGTAAGATGATAAATGTGTATTGTTTTAAGCCACGAAGCTTATGGTAATTTGTTACAGCAGCCTTAGGAAACTAATAAAACTGCCTGTTAAAAGGTCAGGGGGGCTCCCCTGGTGGCACAGTGTTTAAGAATCCACCTGCCGATGAAGGGGACACGGGTTCGAGCCCTGGTCCGGGAAGATCCCACATGCCGTGGAGCAACTAAGCCCATGCGCCACAACTACTGAGCCTGCCCTCTGGAGCCCGTGCAATTTCTGTAAATGCCATGTGATATCCTGGACTAGATCCTGGAAGAGAAAGGGGACATTAATGGGAAAACTAGTGACATTTAAATAAAGTCAGGAGTTAGCAGTAATATACCAGCATTAATTCCTTAGTTTCAACAAATGTACCATAGTTATATAAGATGCTAGCGTTAACATTAGTGGATGCTGGGTGAAAGGTGTACATATGGGAACTCTGGACTATGCTTGGAACTTTTCTACAATTCTAAAGTTATTCCAAAATAAAAAATGTATTTAAAAATTAGACAAATTTCTCAGAAAGCCTAGAGTTATTTGGTCACTAACGTAGATGGGAAAAGACGAACATTTTAATAAACTTTGCTTCAGAACAATTCCAAGCATTTTTGTAAGCAAAGCAGAAGACTGCTGAGGATTAGCAGGGAGATGGCTGACACTAGCACATTGTCAACACCCCCTCCACGTTAATATCGTGTGAGGTCATTCTTAGTGGCGGCCTGGAATCAGGAACGAAATCTAGGAGTTTATGACATTGCACATTCTCTCAGAAAATAAGTGTTTATGGAAGCAAGAGTGCTGGTACTGGATCGACTTCAGGTAACGAAGAAAACAGACAGGGCTGAAATGCCCGGAGCCTGAGCTGTGCCAGGGAAGCGTTTGGAAGCAGTTGAGTAGGTTGTTAACAGACAGTTTGTGAGCAGCGTCTGGGCTCACAGCACCCTGGGTGTGGACACACAGAATAGGACGTGAGCCTGGCACTCACCGTTTACCTGGGATTGACGTCTCCTGTAGGCTCCTCAGAACCATTAGCTTTGTCCCCCGCCCCAGCACAGCACTGTTGGGTGTGGCGAGTGTTACGCTTCCCCTTGAATTCTCTGTCTCAGTTGAGTTGTTGCCACTCTGGTAGGTGAATAATGGTCCTCATTCCTGGAATATATTCCTGAACGTATTACTTTATATGGCAAAAGGGACTTTGCAGGTGTGACTGAGTTAAGGCTCTTGAGATGGGGATTGCCTAGGTGAGCTCAGTGTAATCACAGGGGTCCTGATAAGGGAGGGCAGGAGGGTGAGAGTCACAAAGATTAGAAATGTAGACTGCTGGCTTCGAAGGTGGGGGAGGGGCCGTGAGCCACGGACTGCAGGCAGCCTCTGGAAGCTGGAAAGGGCAAGAAAACAGATTCCCCTCAGAGCCTCCAGAAGGAATGCAGCCCTGCCCACCCCTTGATTTTAGGACTTCTGACCTCTAGGACTGTAAGATGATAAATGTGTATTGTTTTAAGCCACGAAGCTTATGGTAATTTGTTACAGCAGCCTTAGGAAACTAATAAAACTGCCTGTTAAAAGGTCAGGGGGGCTCCCCTGGTGGCACAGTGTTTAAGAATCCACCTGCCGATGAAGGGGACACGGGTTCGAGCCCTGGTCCGGGAAGATCCCACATGCCGTGGAGCAACTAAGCCCATGCGCCACAACTACTGAGCCTGCCCTCTGGAGCCCGTGCGCCACAACTACTGAAGCCTGTGCACCTAGAGCCTGTGCTCTGCAACAAGAGAAGCCACCGCAATGAGAAGCCCACGCATCGCAACGAAGAGTAGCCCCCGCTCGCCACAACTAGAGAAGGCCCGCACGCGTGGCCAGCAAAGACCCAAAGTAGCCAAAAATAAAATAAATTAATTAAAAAAAGAAAAAAAAAAAGAGGTCAGGGATCTTTGGGTTTTGTTGTTGTAAGCTACAGAACCAGGTTCAGACTAACTTAAGAAAAAGAGAATTTGTTAGGGGAAATCCAGGTAGCTCACAGACTGGACAGGTGGCTGGAACAGGCTTACAACCCGGATTAGGGCTTAGTAACTCTAGGTGTCCAGGTAGCAGGGAGTCCCCTGCTGTCTCTTCCAGGCACCTCTACTGGGGTGGGTCAGCGCCCATCTTTTTCTGTCCTTGGGTAGTTCACCTTGAGATTCCAGAATCCAGAGAGTGTGAATGGCTTAAGCTGGGTCCCGTACCTGCTCCTTGGCTAGGGGAGGACAGTGCACCTAATTTACAGCACCCCCTGGTGGAGGGGGGTGCTTATGGAGGACGAGGCTGATTCTCCAAAAGGAAAGCAGGCGCTGTGAGGAAAAGGGTGCCCCAAAACAATGGTCCTGCACCCCATCACACAAGAGCCTCCCGTCCCAAGCCTTACACCCCAGCCTGTCTTTGTGGACTCGTCGAGGTACCAGATTCTCCAGCTGCACTCACCAGCAGATGGTCCCTCACACTGAGCACTCAAATCTCAGGGCCATCCGGGCTCCTGCCTTGCCCTGGCTTCCGGCACACCCTACTTACAAGTGTAAGCAGAGTCACAAAAAGGCAAATACCACAGATTCCCCTCAGACGAGGTTCCTAGAGTCATCAGAATCATAGAGACAGACAGTGGGAGGGTGGGGGCCAGGGGAGCAGGAGTTGGTGTTGAACGGGAACAGAGTTTCAGTTTTACGAGATAGAAAGAGTTGTGGAGAGCGGTGGTGGTGATAACTACACACCATTATGAATTTACTTAATACCACTGAAATGTTTACTTAAGATCAGAGGGAATCCCCTGGAAGTCCAGTGGTTGGGACTCTGCTCTTTCACTGTCAAGGGCATGGGTTCGATCCCTGGCTGGGGAACTAAGATCCCGCAAGCCTCAGTGCAGCCAAAGAAAAAGGTTAAGATGGTAAGTTTTGTGTTATATGTATTTTACCACACCCCCAACCCACCCCCGGCCAAAGTAAATGTTGGGAGGAAAACTGTGTAAGCAAATGGCACTTGGATCAAGTCTCTCCAGACTCCCACTTCCCTACCATGACTCGTGCACTGCTGGTAATATCTATCGAGTTCTAGTTGTTTGCATACTTACCTGTCCCTGCCAGCAATGGAGGGTTCTTTGAGGGCAGGATGAGGTCTTGCTCCTCCTGGATTCCTGGAGTTGCACACGTAAGGAGACTCTCAGTGAATTGAGTCCCGTGGCATCTTTCCCTTACTGGTCTTTTTCC